TATATTTTCTTAGGGCTGAAAAAAGCAAATAAATGGATAGATGTGTGTATATGAGCATGTATCTCTAAGAATGTAACTGTATGAGAAAGACTATTAAATTTATAGTGCAGAGTTTGAGCCCTCTCTTCATTTCCTCAAAAAAAGCAAGCGGCATGTTTCTTTAGAAAGAAACTTTACTGTTTAAGTTATGTTTAAACCATATCAGCACAATAAGCATCTTTTTCTTCAAACATCTGCTTTTTAAATCTACTTATTATTCAGTTATGTAATCTTTATTGCTTTTCATTTACAACAGTATGGCTTAGCAGAAAAAGGAAGATTTAAATGGTGATTGAAAAGTTAAACTTGGAAGTGAGAGGAAAATATGGATCATTGCTACCTTAATTACTATATGAAACAATTAAACTCATTTGTAAGCAATATATTTCTTCCAAGAGGTCTTGGCATTCGCTGAACACTGGTGAAAGCAGCTTTGTCCTCACATTTTGCACAATACAAACGTGCAGGTGAATGTTCTGCTGAGCCAACAAACCAGAACATAGGTGTCACATGATTATAGCTTTGTATGAAACATTATAAACAGCTCACAAATGCATGAGCCAGTCTCTGCTCACATAGCTGAAATAACTTTTGCCATCTTTCCCTTGGCATATGACGAAGAATATGAAAAGCTGCTATTTTTTCTTGTCTGCTTCTAAAGCTTTTGTGTCCTGCTGCACGGCCCTGAAACTGTTCTTCGGTGGCACCGCTTACAGCTGCTGTCCCATTCCTTCTCACACTCTTGTCATTTGCCTCAAACAGAAAGATATAAAACAAAAATAACAGCCAGGAGACTGTTAGCATATTATGATAATGGTCTTAAATTTGGTTTAGGGAGTGTATAGTCTTTTGTGACTGAGGGTTTGTTGGTGCTAAGGGAGAGATCACAGTAAATATTCTTGTGGGCTTCCTGACTTAACATCTGTTATGTAGTTACTTCAGGCTTCGGGAAAGTAGACTCAGAGATCCAGCAGTCCTTTAGTGCATTAATGAGCATTAATGTATAGCATGATTTTGGCAGTGTTACAGCACTTAAACAGCTTAATCTGCCTTCTGCTAAAAAGAAACGATACGTGAGGAATATGGATACATGCTGGCATGTCAGCATTGCTTAAATAATTGTAGAAGCTGTTAGATGTGAAATGAAGTTTGTGCATGGCTGTAAAACGTATGATGGCAGGCAGACAGCTGGAATTTATGTAGATTCATATACATTAATGTATGAATATGCACCATTTTATGAGACTCCAAAACCAACTATATGCACAGATGTCACTAGAAAATATTCAACCTACTCATCAGATTGGAAAGGTTCCTAGATAGCTTAGGGAGTAAGGTTAAACTAACTTTATGGCCCATAGAACAATTAATATTTCCCAGATGTACAAATTTTAAATCAAAATACAGGAATACACTAAAATAAAACCCCAAATCAAATGGAGCTGTGGTGGTAAATACACATCATTAACCTAAGGAAAACATCTCAAAGAGAATATTATGTTTAAAGGAATTTTAAATTCATAATACACTCCAGATGTAGGTCATTTGAAAGTACAGAGCTCAGACCCATCAGACAGCTTTGTCTTTCCTCTGGTGTCTTCATCCACTGACTACATAAATTAATACATCCATATTTGACCTCTAGCTAACAGGACCTGTAGGTAAGGCTAACATTGCACACTTTGATCTGAAAAGCTGTAGCTTACAGTCCTGGCCTAACTGCTACAGTTAAGATCCACAGAGGTCAAGTTTTTTTGTTCCTAATAAGGGATGGTTTGCAAAATGATCTCCCTCAAAAGATTGTGCTATGAAACTCACCATTTCTGGACACCCCCAAAAGCCCCAACCAAACAAACACTAAAAACCAACTTCTCCCCCAAAACAAACAAGGATCTGGCTCATATCCAGGTTCTACAGGAGAAGAAAAGAAGGATTGATCGAGCAGTAGTAAAGAATATGATTATTATAGTCAGTACTCTTCTGGGGAAAATATTACAGAAGAGCTTATCTTTTCCCTTGATTATGGTTGGAAAACTATGTTAGTGCTGTGCAATGCTGTCTTTTTGATCCATAGTTTTATTTCAAATGCTAACAATATAACAATATTGCACAACAATCTTTTTTTAATGCCATTCTTCTCGTTCCAACAATTCATAGGCTGCTATGTGTGGATTTCCCTCATCTTTTCATTTGGTCTCACAGCTATCCTTCTGGCTTTTCATGCTGTCTTTGTTTAATGAGTGAAGAAACAGATTGCTAACAGGTCTATCTACATCATAAGTGAAGTATTTATGTAAGGGTAGAATTCAAGGTGCTGCCTCTAGAGAATAAATCTGCGAATTGTATGGTCAAATATTTACCTCCTATGATGCCTCTTTCCTACATTTTTTTCTAAAGATTGGCAAAGGAACATTTGAAGTAAGACTACAGCAAGGCAATGTTTATTATAGTAGTAATTTGGGGGGGAGATCAGAATGTTAGCATATACTACACAAATTTTTAATTTACAATTTCATAAGTACATCCGTCTCATCACAGGAAAAAGAACTTGAAAATAATATAAAAAAACCCATTGTTCTGGTATCTTTATAGTGAAATACTGTTATTGTGTTTAGCAATAATAGCATTTTTTTCCAGAAAATTGCTTTTATTTTCAAAAATATAAATATTAAGTGATATAGGAATGGAACTTTTGCTTTGAGTTAAACAAAGAGTCCAAGTTAAAATGAGCTTTTTTGACCCAGAGGAAATATTTGTATTGTTCATGTATTTCAGAAGGGCTTTCTTTCTGGTTCAAACATCAACAAAATTGCTGATTGTCCAAATATAGCTCTAAATAAAAAAATTGTAATTGAAGTTATGCTTCAGCATAGTTATGAGAGCACAAGTTTATTACAACAGGAGAAGTAAACATGATATATTTGGGAAGTCTTCGGAGTGTAATGTGTCTGTTCTTCATGTTTCACTGCTTTCTCCATATGACCTCAAAGGTCACTGTCACTGTTCTGCTCAGTGGTTCCCACCAAATGGAAATAAAGAAGTGTTAAGTATCTTATAATATAAGCTGTCAGCAAAAAGTTTTATTGCTTCATATGTGATTTAAAGTCTCTTAATAAATCTCTGGACTATTGTATATTTGGTGAGCCATTCCATGCTGTGGATTTTCAAGTCTGTTGGTTTCAATATATAGTTATGCTTAAACTGCAGTTTGTAAGGTGAGCCATAATGCCTTCAGTCTAAGTATCCTTTACCTTCCCAGTAAAACAGCCACCCTGTTTATCCTCTATGCCCACACCTTCCTTGAACAGTACAGCTGCCTGGGCAAGAAGATAGATTGCTTTTCCTGGTGGGGAGCTGAATGTATTGGCCAGTGTCTGTGCTGCCAGGACAGGGACCTCCTTGTTTTAAACAAGTGCTGCCCTAGACTCTTTGTGACCCAAGCTATTTAATGAGTGCACAAACCATAAGATCTAAATGTCACTCAAATCTTTGCTTTTCAGTCAAGTTCATTTCAAACTGGCCTCTGGGGGGGTTTAGAATGGATATTAGGAAAAATTTCTTCACAGAAAGGATTATCAAAAAATCAGAACAAGCTGCCCAGGGAAGTGGTTGAGTCACCACTGGAGGTATTTAAAAGATGGATAGATGTGGTGCTTAGCGACACGGTTTAGTGGTGGTTTTGGCAGTGTTAGGTTAACAGTTGGATTCAATCTAAAAGGTCCCTTCGAACCTAGACAATTCTATTCTGTTCTATTTTATGATTCTATATGCAAGTAGTAATTAATATTTAAAGTACATCCGTAATAATACTTTAAAACATTTAAGGTAATTCAGACAGTGGGGTCTAAAAGAACACTGGACTTATGAAAATATACTTTTAAATTTAGTTGGATTTAGTTTTTTCACATCATGGAGTTTCTGGCATTTATTCCTTTAGATATTTATAAAGCCTTAAAACTGTTGCCAGTACAGTGAATGATTTGCAGTAAAATCAAATGGAGAGCTTGGCATTCCACTTTATGCTAGGTGCCTGCGTTATCTTGAGTTTGAAATTTATTGCTTTTTATTATGTTTTTTTAATTTATTTTTGAATTGGATAAGCTTAGTTATTGCAAAAGCAAGACTATTCGTAATGGTTTGGGCCAAATATAGTGCAGTCAGATGGTATGCAGGTTTACCTAAAGAGCTTTGACAACCTCTTAATCTTGATATGTAGCACACCATCTATTCTAGTCACGGTCGTTTAAAAAACATATAATGCTTGTCATGCTAAATTGCACACTAGCTCTTTGTTTAGTATGGACGTAATTACACCATAAACTGAATTGCAGTTGAAAGTGAAAAACGGTCCTGTAGCACTATTTTCGAAGCTTATAGGTCTTTATGCTAAACTATATCTTAGATTTTCCCAGACAACCTATAGTTATCTTACTGCCCATTAACACTCCTTTCTGGATGAGGTAAGGGAAAACAAGCCTCAGGGGCAGCGATTTACAATCTGATTTGACAATATTTTTAAGTCTATGTGTAGTTTTAAGTAGGGGTCCAGGAAATGCAACAGTATTAAGACCAGTTATTTGTTTGCTTGCCTGGATTCCGCCAGCTCTGTGGAGTTTTGATATCTGTCCCATACTTGAAATTCTCCAGTCCTTGCACTTTCAAAACTTCCATTGACCGATCTCAGTATTGATTGCTTGTGAACTGTAACAATCCCTCTTGCTTGTCTGATGTCTTTAATCTTTTGATCCATCTCCATGACTAATCAATATTTATATTGTCATGGAGGCAATATATCCACATCCAGGCTCCAGGTGTCTGCAAACTCACAAAGTGTGTTTGTAAGACAAATTGGTACAGAAACAGCTAAACTTTTTCTGGGGTGGAAGAGTAAGGCATTCCAAGCCATTCTATCCTAAACACAAAGACCGATACCTTTTAACGTATTTTCTTTCTACCAACAGGTCCCATAAGCAGCATTTTGGTGAATAAATATGGTAGCCGGCCTGTGATGATAGCAGGAGGTATTCTGTGTTCCTTTGGTATGATTGCTTCGTCTTTCTGCAATAGCGTCCTTGAACTTTATATATGTATTGGTGTCGTTGGAGGTAAGAGTTTTGTTTAAAAGGGATTATTCTATTCTATTCTATTCTATTCTATTCTATTCTATTCTATTCTATTCTATTCTATTCTATTCTATATATTATGTTATGTTAATTATTTTATGTTATGCTATATTATTTATATTCTTTCATTTCTAATACTGTTCTACCAATGAGCCATACTGATCAAGAACACACTGTGCAAGGCATTGTACAAATGCAAATCAAAAAGGTAGCAAAATCAGTTCATTTCAGCTACCTGAGGTATCTAATCCTTTAAATTAGCTGGTATGATGTTAAATTATTTCTTAGGATATTTCAGGAACAACTGATGATTTTATTCAATAAATGCTGTATGTATGTACTGTTCCACACTGCATTGTAATTATGATATAAAAATTGATTGGCTCATGACAGCACTTATTACAGTCATTTGTGTAAAATATCACATTTATTCTTTTAGCTTTCAATCATGTTGCACTTCAAATGAGGTGGCAAAGGCTAGTAGAATTCTAGTAAAAATGCAAAAGCTAGTACCAGCTTTCTGTAGGTTTATATATATAAATACTCTCACAAGAAAGTATAGCAACTTTCAGTTCAATAGCTTTCTGTTTAAAATCCCCCAAGGTCAATCCCCAAATAAAATTATTCATATATTGGATATTGCCTAAGGCAATGAACTACAGTGATCATAAAGCCAGTAAATTAAATAACCTCCTTTTCAAAAGTTGTGGGTTTTTTTTTTAAACTACCTCCTCAGAATAAGGAAGTCAAGCGAGGTGAAATATAGGTAGATAATAAATGAATGAGTTAATACTTGTTGCTATATTCAAGCTCATCTTTCTTTGTGTTGGGACTAAAGGAGTCCTGCTTTGTTCAGTAATTATTTCTTAAAGTTTTATTTTTTACATCTTAAACTTAGTGCTCACTGAAAGAATAAAGGCAGGGTCCAGGAATAGGACTATAAGAGAAGAAAACTTTTCTCCTGTGCCATTCAGAGATGCATAGCTACTTAGACCTTATTGCCTAGATGTCTTAATACAGAGAGGTGGCCTAGAGATTCAGCTTATACATTCAGTTGATGTGGATGGGGTCTGTTCCCACACATGTCCTCTACAACTTCTCCACCTTTAGTATTGATTTCCATACCTGGGGAAGTGAGCTAAATGTGCTCTGATAGAATTAGCCATTTTAAGCTCCACTTTTTTACACAAGTTTGATCTTAAACAGAGCTGGAAATATGAAATGAGGAGAATTATGCATTTAAATATACCTTGTATGCCTTGTAGCTGAGGTGACATTTAATAACTTTTCTGAAATGAGCCAGGAGAGAATTGCATTACAGCTTAGTAAACATAAAAATGGTGAGTCGAGGCTCTGATAGCATAATTCCTCTGCAGTTCCCCTGTCTCTATCATTGCTAAAACACAACAAGGAGTTTGGGTTTTTATTGCAGAGCTACAGGGGGAACTAGTAGAATGCCACCCTTGACATAGTCTTGGCATTATCACATATGGACGGCAATGAAGATGTATTTCATTCTCTAATGCTACTTGGTTTCTTCCTTCATTGGGAATCACTGGATTAGATACTGGTCATTTAAAAAAGAACTTAAAAGAAGTGTGATGTGGTTTTTAGTGCATGACCTTCAATAATACTGTCTTTTATGTGTTGTTTAGGTCTGGGTTTAGCATTCAACTTACAGCCTGCCTTGACCATGATTGGCAAGTATTTCTATAAGAAGCGTCCCATTGCTAATGGATTGGCCATGGCTGGAAGTCCAGTGTTTCTGAGTACATTGGCACCTCTCAATCAATTCCTTTTTAATGCATTTGGCTGGAAAGGAAGCTTTCTCATTCTGGGAGGACTTCTTTTGAACTGCTGCGTGGCTGGGTCACTTATGAGACCTGTTGGACCGAAAACAGTCCCTCCTGCGAAAAAAGATGTTGAAAAGGGCACAGGAGATTCTACCTTGCACAAAAACAACAAGAAATCTTTTTGTCAAACTATGAATAAATATCTAGACCTGTCCCTCTTCAAACACAGAGGGTTTCTGATCTATTTGTCAGGAAATGTCATTATGTTTATCGGTTTCTTCGCTCCAATAGTATTCTTGGCTCCTTATGCCAAGCACAAGGGAATTGATGAATATTCTGCTGCTTTTTTACTATCTATCTTAGCCTTTGTAGACATGTTTGCTAGGCCTTCAATGGGACTCGTAGCAAACTCCAAGTTTATCCGGCCAAAGATTCAGTACTTTTTTAGTTTTGCTGTCTTGTACAATGGCGTCTGTCATATCTTGTGTCCTCTGGCAACAAATTATACTGGCTTGGTGATATATGCTGTGTTTTTTGGGTTTGCATTTGGAATGGTTAGCAGTGTTCTTTTTGAGACATTGATGGACCTTGTTGGGGCTGCCAGATTTTCCAGTGCAGTTGGACTTGTCACCATTGTGGAATGTTGCCCTGTGCTCATAGGCCCTCCACTAGGAGGTAAGAATCTCTTTTATTCCATTTTTTTTCAGACATTACAGCATAACCTTGCGATTTAATATTTAATTAATATACTTAATGTTCTTTAGTGTTTTTTGCGTGACTAGGAATGTACTGTGGCAGCAGTGCACTGCATCAGTCTATACACTTCACAGCTGCAGATCTACATGAGAATCTGAAAGGCATACAATGTGTTCATGTACAGTAGATAGATTAAGAGCATATCTCTACTGGCCTATAAATCCATGTGATAAATGTATGTTTTTCTGATAGCATGTAGTGCTAGCTTTGCAGCCTTGATTTACATGTATTCACTCCAATTTACTCTTTGCCAACACAGTTCTTATTCTCTTGAACTGGTCGAATCCACTAGTCAGTTTTTGTGAAGATTGGCATTTCTAGAGAAAAGAAAACAGTAGGGAGGTGCCAGAAAGGATAGAGGCATGCTCAGCAGCCTAGACGACGTGTGTGCCTGGTGGGATTCCAGCACAGAGCTGTGGAGCATTGTGCCCTGGCATGATTTCACACTGAAAACTCACTTTCAGCCAGCTCCATTAACGTGTTTCTATAGCCAACAGATATAGCCAACATATATTTCTATAGCCAACATATATTTCTATAGCCAACATATATTTCTATAGCCAACATATATTTCTATAGCCAACATATATTTCTATAGCCAACATATATTTCTATAGCCAACATATATTTCTATAGCCAACATATATTTCTATAGCCAACATATATTTCTATAGCCAACATATATTTCTATAGCCAACATATATTTCTATAGCCAACATATATTTCTATAGCCAACATATATTTCTATAGCCAACATATATTTCTATAGCCAACAGATAAGGCAATTCAGAGTGTGAACCATCCTACATTGACTAAAAGATTGTAATGTTGCTAATTTCTCTTTTGAGTGTAAGGGTATCTTAAAGGGAGCCTAAGTGCATAGCCTGGACCGTATTCGTAACTTTTGGGCTTCTAGCACCAAAAATGATGAAGTCTTACCTAAAGTATTTTCTGTTTTCTAGAATTTTAGTCAGTATTTAATAATGCTTTTAGTAAGTTTTATAATACTAAACTTTCTGATGATATAAGAAACTAAAGAAATAGATGCTCAAATCTTATTGAAAAGTGTCTGTTAAAGGGATGTGTGTGTGTTGCAGTGTAAGCCCAATACGAAAATATAAAGATACTGAGATTACAAGCCTTGTGAACATACATTATACCCACATAAGCAGAGCCACAAAAGTCAGAAAGTTTATATGCGCCTAAAACCATTTTTAAGTATCAAAGTGTTTTAAGGATTACTCTCACAGTTTGTGTGAAAATAGTGTTGTCGAGTGAAATTTTAAATATGTCAAAACAGTTTCATTCATTTCAGTACAATAATATTTGTACAAGCAAGTGTTTAACAGTCCTCAAGATATTCCATATTTCCCTTGTCTTTTAACAAAGAAATTCATTTTGGTGATGGTAGAACTAAATATATTCTTCTCACGCAGACTCTTCCTCTGCCACCTAGTGGGGGGACTGAGCCTGTGACCAATGGAGTCCAGTCTTTTCAGTCAGATTCTGAAATCAATATTAGTATTATGTCTAAAGAGATAAAATCTAATATTTTTGGAGGAATAGAATATGCAACTATTTATTTTTCAGTATATTAGCTTTGCAGAAGTTTCGAAAAGTATGTGTTTGTGCTATAACTGTATGAATAATTGATTTACCTTGTTAAATAGAGACAACAAAGGGGGTGAGCATATTGAAAAGCTAAATTCCAGTTTTGACTAGTTCATATCCTTTAAAATATTATTCTAAATTAATGTTAATGGAGAATTTCATATTTAATCATAATTTTTATGAGACTGCTCATAGATAAAAAACAGTAAATGGTACTATTTACTCTGAGGTGAATTATACAGTTGCAGTGCTATTTGAGATTTTTCCTAATACTAAGTTTGTGAAATAAAGAAAAGACGAAAATAATTTGATGGCTTGTAAATGTGTATCAGGTGAATAGGCTGGCATTATGGTTTCAACCCAGTAAAAGCATCTAAAAACTGTAAAATTGAAGCATTTGAGTTGTCCTGTGAATTTCAATGATAGTGTAGCAGAGTTCAGAGCTAAAAAGTTGGATACATACAAATCTTGATTTGGCAGTTGAGAAAATTTTGAAATAATGGCTCAAAAAGCTGAAGAACAGTTATATTTTATTTTTATAATGTCATGTCATGACCAAATTAATCTCAGAGGTGTGGATGTAATTTTTAGGTACAGGCTTCAGAGTTCAAAACTCGGCAGCTGAGCATGATAACTGAAGGAACAAGCCTTTCTATCTCTTTCACCAGTCATAGGAAAGTAAAAATGAAAAGCAAGCAGTTGAGGCACAGTGACAGCAGCCTAAAAAGGCACATACCTTTTCATCCTATTGTCTGTATGCGGCCTCCGTGAGTGTCAGACAGTCACTCCAAAACAATAAGAAACAAAATTAGGAGGTGAATAAAATAATAAGACAATGAAAGAAGGAAAATGAAAGAACTAAAAAACTGTCTGTCATTATTCGTTAAGCTTTACTTACTTTGTTCTTCAACATTTTATCATTGTCAGTGATTCCAGTGACAATTGCTAGCTTGAATAATACAGGTTTTGTTAGAGTTCTGCTATATATGTTAGACCATTTGAACATGTTTTCTGCTCCAACTTCAAAAGCAGGCAATATATAGGTATTTCTCCTAGGAAAAATGTGGATTGTATTGGGTATTCTATTCTAAACACTCTTTTTCTCTCCTCTCTTTGATTTCAGGTTGGTTAGTGGATGTTACCGGTGAATATCAATACATGTATTTTGTCTGCGGAGTGATTGTGATTGTGGCCAGTATCTGGTTGTTCATTGGCAATACCATTAACTACAGGCTTTTGGCAAAAGAAAAGAAGTTAGAAGATGAGAAGCAGAAAGCACAGAAGAACACTGACTTGAAGGAAGCAGAACCGTTAACAAACAATGAGAATGAAGATGCTGCCAGCAGAGCTGATAAAGCTCTTGAAGATCCTTCAGAAAGAGAAACCAACATTTAATCGGCAATATAGCTCAGGAGGCAACATTTATGACTTCCATTAGAAATACGTCTTCAAGACACAGGCCAGGTTTTGTGTAATAATGATCAGTCACAATATTGGATGGGAACAGATTTTTGACCCGTGGCAAGACTCTAAGTTAAATTACTATTACAGTTTATTTATTTCAGTGATACAAAATTGAGATTACAGAAGTAGTGACTCCACACAAATGAGTCCATCAAACTATGACTCTGGACAATCAAGAGTCAGGTAAACTAAGCTATATATAAAGCCCTCCAATGACAAACAGTTTTGTTTTAAAAGTATATCGAATGCAAAAGTATCTCTAACTGTTATTTGGGAAGACACTTTGTGTTCATCTTTAGATTATCATTAAAGTCTGTTGAAATAATCTGCCCAAACTGCACTTATCACTGATATTAAAAAGAATATAAGCTCGAAGATTTGTTTCAAAAGAGACAGAGTACTTGAAGTGAAGCACACTGAAACTTTTTTCTCTTTTGTATGGCCACTAGATCAAAAAGATTCATTATGTCTGTACAAAAAATATAATATGGATGTAAAAGTTAAGGTCTGAAGACAAATGATTGGTGGGCACCATCTCCAAAATACAATAAACAGCTGAATTGCAATATATTCCAGAAGTTGTTTCCTCCTGTGATAGCTGTGATAGCTGGCTACATTGTACTTCAACATACACATTTGAACACAAATGTGTTCAGACCTCACTAATTCAAACTAAGCTAAAATCTGCCTGTACATAAAAGGATTTAAAACCAAAATCTGCGTTGCTAACAAGAGTGACAATTAGTTTTTTCTGTTATGTATTCCTGTATGGCTGAAGGAACTGGATTGGACTGTGAAACCTTGTTCCTAAAGGGACTAGATTCAGAACCTGCTGATGTTAAAAGGATACCTACCCTTGGCTTCTGTGGCCTGAATCAGTTTCATGGCAATGTCTTCAAGCAGATGCTCGGGTTTATTGGCAGGTCATTAGTTGTTTGACGGTCTGCTGAGAGGAGATTTAAGGTCTAACTTCAGGTCTTTGCAGACAACTTTATATCAGTTCTCACCTCCCTTTCCCATGTATTTAGTGAAAAGCTACTTCTTCTTTGTAATGCCAGTTCGAGCAGAAAAGCTGCAGTGCACATTAACCGTGCCAGTGTGGAAGCTTTGTATTAACATATCATCGTTGTGCAGGATATTTGGTCTTCTGTCTGCAATGTCACACAGACACTCAAATAAATTAAAATGTACACAACTGTTCCTTTAGGCAAAAGAAAGTATAAATCAACAAATTTACTTTACAGAAATTAGCATTGCACTTGAAAGCTAAAAGTGCAAGCTTCTGAAGGTATTAAGTGAAAATATTTTTGTTCTGATGAGGAAAGGTGCTGTTCGTTTGGAGAGATGCATATAAATGCCTCAGAAATTGTGAAAATTAAGGGTCTGATTCATAAAACATTTATGCACTGTTTATGCAGAATACACATACATTCAAATCAGGGAAAAGAATATAGTTTATTTTAGTCTTCTTTTAAATCTCAAAAAGTTGCAAGTATTTTGGACAGACAGCTACCTGTATTAAACATAGTTTGAAGCACCAGTAACAAAATAAAAAACTTACTAGTAAAATCTAGCAAATATGTGAATGCTTTTAAGAAAGAATAACGTTCAATATTATTATTTTCATTGTTCTAAAAATTTTGGTAGTGCTTGCTCCTGTTTTGCTGGGTTATCATCTTATATACTGTGAAATTCCACAGTAATGCTGAACTTTTTCATTATCTCAGCACTGTTTTGGGGGAGAAGCATCATGAATCTGCTCACAGCCTGGCACAGCAGTTAATACCTACTTGTTATTTAATTATATGCAGGAAAACCAAATACCTTCTACAAGTCCTCTAATCAACAACAAAATATGTGCATTTTAGAGTTTTGGTAGAAAATATGGGTTATGTGCTCAGATCTGAGCAGCGAACTGTGTAAAGGAGAATTATTTAGTCCCAGGAAAATTGCAGTTCCTCTCCCAGCCCCCAGCTTCAGAGAAGAAATAAATACATTGCACTTCCTTTCAAACCATAGCCCTGCCATCACCCCATGAGGCAAAAGTATTGCTCTGTTTTTGACTACACAAACATACAGGCTGAATTCCAGGGTCTGTGAAGACCCTATGTGCCCAGAGCCACCACAAAGTGATGAGGAGTTTCATAGACACTAAGCTTTCATACAGGGAGGAATATCAGTGATAAATACTGAATTGTGAAAGATGAACTGAAATTTTAGCTGAAGAGTAGTCATCGGGAAGATCACTCTGCTCTTGACAGCAAGTGGTAGAACAGCAGATATTATTTGAAAAGAGATGAATATAGAGACTGAACCAAAATGACTGAGGCAAAATTCTAGGTGCTTATTATCTCTTTGCAAAAAATGGCATTATTAAGAATATAGAGTAGAAGACAAGTGCTAAGTTTTGCCTTAAGTCTGTTGAAAATTGCTATTGCATAAATAATGGACTCAATAAAAAAAAAAAGCTCTCAAGAAACATGCAGGCAAACTACTTGTTCGATCGAAAAACAAGGTTCCTCAAGCCATAGACACACCTGACCACCAGTACAAAAAATATGTTATTATTCCAGAGGAAATAAAAATTTATATAAACACAAACCTCTACAAAGCTACTACTCTTTCATCTCTGGTCAATTACGTTAAAAAATAATAGGAATGAAAGAGCTGCTCACCAATGTGCAGTTTTTAATCCCATAAAGTAAAATGATATAACAGGCAAATGGAGCAATATAAAGTGTGAACTGAGTCAAGTGAAACAATTCCTTATACCTCTTTCATTGCTTTTCTAATAATACTAGCAACAAAATAAAAAACATCAAAATATTAATGATATTACTGAATACTAAGGAAGTTAAAATCCAGAGATGAATGAATAAAATTGGAACCATATCTATGCAAAAACTGCCTGGAATTCAAAAAAAATGATGTCTTCCAAATAACAGGTCCTAAAGGGGCAATTGTCTTGTATATGTAGCTCTTATTTCAAAAAGTAGTAATAATAATAAATTGCCTTGAATCAATTCTATACTGAGCAGCAAAGTAGCAAAATGAGTATAACTTGCCTTCAAATCCCTGAATATCACTCTTACTCGCACTGAGCTGTAATTTGTACTGCAAATCATTTCATCATTGCATTTCTGCCTTCAGGATAAGACCTGGGTATATACCATCTCTCTAAATCCCCCTGATTTCTTTTAATTACCACACCCCTAATCTGGACCACTGCAGGGTTCGGGCTAACAGATGCCCCTGCCCTACAATCAAGAAATGTATGCTCAAGCTTCAAGACCTACCAGATGCATCTGTTATACACTATGGAGTCTGTAGACTCTGTCAGGCAGTGCAAGATTGCTCTTAATCTCATTGATACTCAAGTATATTTCATCCTTTTAATTTCTCTGCTACTATATCACTGAGCGTAATTATCATCTTGCTTTTATTTGATCAATCAAGAAAAATAATGTCAAAATTTTAAAATTAGTAGGAACAGTAGGACAACAGCAATAACATTTTTCCTGTTTAACAACAACTTAAATTTCAAGTAGTTTCAGAGTAGACATCCAGATATTTTTCTCTCTTTAGAGTTTTTTGACATTGTACTCTCTTGTACTAACTTCCTCCAACTCCAGAGGAAGACTTCTCACCACTAATTCTCAGTACTTTTTCAAGAACATATCAAAAGTTCACCCCTCCCACGTCTCGCCATTGAACTGTGGTTGCAAATGTTGTCAGTTCCGTATTTCTATTAAGTTCACAAAAGCATCTTTTTATATGAAATCCTGCAGCATACATAGTCGACTACAATCTTTTTATTTTAGGAATGTGATTTGAGAACTGTTTTGACAGAGTTAGGGAAAGTCTTATTTTATCTTCAAATAGTTTCTTTTAAATGGTGCTGTGCTTATGAGAGGAAGTTCAGCTTTACTTCCAACTGAAGTGAATGGCAGCAATTTCACTGACATCATGATTCAAAATTCGCATGAATTTTAATCGGTTTTTTGCATATCAGCATCCAGTCTGCTTAAAAAACATTTGCAGTGCGTACATAACTGTTCCTCCCAGACAACTCTCGTTCCTCTTGAAGGTTCCCCACCCCCACCCTTGTTCTCCATTCCGACGTAACACAGAGAATTTGGGCCTGACATGTACTGATTTTTCTTAAATTCTTTCTTGTTTTTCTCTTTCCTCAAATGCCTTAGCAACATTTTCACTTCCTACTTTCAGGTCTGGATGGCTGAGTATTTAGTGGGGACGCATTATTCAAATACATAATAAGCTACCGATAGCACATACAGCCAGATTTGGAGCAGCCATCAGAATTTCACTAATGAAGCCAGTGACCACTTTTATAGATAAACATGCTGTTACTGACAGTTTTGCCTATAATAAAATTGAATCGAGGCAACTTTTGTTAGTTTATCTATAGATGCCTATTTTTCTACTCACAGAAAGGAATATAAAGGGAATTTTTAAATAATTATTTTCCAAGATGACATATCAATTTTGACAAGGCGCTCTGGATTTTTTTGGGAATGAGTGCATTTCTGATATTTGTGCACATATATATATATATATAAACTGTTGGCATGTATTACCACCTTTTTGATCACAATTTGCATAAGCATTGCTGAGTAATTTCTACATAATTTGCATATTGTTGATTTGCAGTTCAAATTTTCCTTGTCATCTGCCTCTTAATTGAAATTTGGAGACTTGCAAGACCCGGGAAGAATACAGTTATCAAAACACATAATGTTAAAACCTGTACAGACTATTAGAAAATCTCCCAAATATTTGAAGCTAAGAGTTCTGTTTTTAAGACAGTGCATATTTATGACCAAATTCTTTTATCAATTGCCATAGCATTATTAAATTTAAAAATTTAACTCATACTGGTGTAGTTTTTACATCACTGAACTGGTATAAAAACTCAGTGTGTCATTTAGCTATCCAAAGTCTACTGCCCTTTCTATGAGATGCTGTCCCTCACTTTTTTTTTGGTTGTCTTTCGATTTCTGAGTTAGTGGAAGTAATTAAATGGAAACAGTTAATACAGTGAAACAGTTTGAAAAAGCATTACAGAATACTTTGCATTTTACATCCCCCAAAAAAAGAAAGTTTCTTTGATTTTGCTATAATACAGAATTTTAGCTTGTCTCCCCTTTTGTGATGTGGTTGAGGGAGATGATCACAAAATGTTGGACTGGGGTCAAGAAATGATGATTATTCTTCATGTGCTCTTCACAAAAACAGCAATGATTGTTTCTTCAAAAATATTCTTCTTTTCGGTCTGAAAACCATTCTTGCCTTCTAGGACCTAGTACAAAGTCCACTGAAACCAACATAAAAAAAACCTTTCAAAGTCAAAAAGCTTTATCTGACATTGGAGGTGATGTGGCTTCAGTGGAGGCTTCAGCCTTATTTTCTCCATATCAAATCTCAGGAGTATCAGATATAACAAACGAAATGCAGGATTTGTGGTGACTGGCAATTTAGCTATGCCTGCATAGTATACCTAATGAATCAGTCCCTGAAGTAATGCACAATATGTATTATTTTAATAGCATATGTAAATAAAAAAAAAAATCAAACATAAACTCTGAATGTAGATTATAAAATATAAAGGATATATTTAAATAAATATCCAAACAAATCTGCTTAACCCCAAAGGAAATTATCTATTTCCTTTCAAGCTTTCCTTCAGCAGTTTATAATCTTCATTTTTGTTATTTCTGAGAAAATGTTCTATGTCTTTTGGAATGTATATATAGATTTATATATAAGGGAATATATAAGCATATGTGTGTATGTGTGTATATATGTATTCCCCTATATATAAAACTCTAATTTATATATATTATATATATTTATGTATATATAAAATATATATAATGTCTTAGAGTAAGTTGCATACTGTGCCTGATAAATGAAGCATATTTGTAAGCAGATAAATGACTTCACCAAATGACAGAAAAATATAGAGGTTTTCTACAAGAATATATTTTATTATTTTTCAGTTTCTGCTGGTTTTATTTATATTAGAAATTCATTCATAAAACTGCTATATTACCTAGCATTGGTGTTTCAACCATTACTCAGTTCAAAGTGGCATAAGATCATTCAGAATTTTCACCGTTGTTAGACTGTAAAACCTACATTGTTGGTGGAGGGGTGTTGGTTGGTTGTTTTTGCTGTAGAAGTATTACGGAGATGATCTCTGAACAGACAGCAACACATAGACTGAGCTGTCATCTATTGTAGTATGTAAGACAAGATCACACGAGGCATTGAGGAACATGATATTCTTGTAAAAAGTATGGAGAATGAGGATACTCAAGGCCCTGTAAACAATATTTAAGTTAAATATTAAGTCAAATAAGTTAAATTCTTATGGGAAACTCTCCAGAATAGTAGGATCTAAAAACACTGACAATTTTTCATACTTTTTCCAGGTTTTGGATTTCTTAATTTGTCTGCTAGTAGGCAAGCCAGTAAAAACCTACATGTGTCTCTGACACTTCAAAAGTTCTACCTTAGTTATTGAGGGATTTTTCAGAGTGGTACATAAAGTACTTACATAAATACCCTTCCTGAAGTGTTAGATACGTGCATTTTCCACTCGTATTAGCCTACTCGGAAAGTTCACCATATCTGCAGTCTACCAACTGAACTTGGTATTGCTATGCAATAATTAAACATGCAGTAGCCATTGCTGTTGACTAACAAATTTTTTCTTCCTTTTTGTATTTTGCAATACTGTACGGTTTTTACTTGAATATATTGGCTAGATTTTTTTTTTTTTTGACAATCATTTATTAGCTAGAGGTGCTACTTATGTTCCAAAGAGATCTGGGTGAATGATAAGATTCTCTTTCTACATGCCAAATCCCTTTTTTAACCTGACAAATTTCATTGTTCATAATGTATATTAACCCTGTAAAATGCTTATACACTGCATTATATTGTATTTAAATGCATACTTGCTCATTAACTTCTATTCCAGGCTTGTACTAGCGTCTAATATGTCAAGTTTGTCCATATATATTTATGGAAAATTGCAATGAAAAATGTGTATGATAAATAGTGGGGAAAAAAAAAAAGAAAAGAAAATAAAATTTCCATGTAAAGTTTCTGAAAGGATGTATATGCTGGTTTTTCAGACTCTTTAATAGTAAGTAATTTACACTATTAAAGTATTAATATTCATAGATATATTAATTGATTCAGTATTCAAATATAGTTCAAATATAACTGGGATATCAGAATCACTTGTCCTTGCATACAGAAACAGAACTGGAAGATTTCCTCTAGGAAAGATACTACTAGCATCAGAACATGCTACCGGCCCCTTGCTATTCCTAATTCCACCATAATTATAATTTAACCTCATACTTTACTCAAACACCATCTGGACACCCAGGATTTTTTCCCATTACTCTGATCGGAATGTTTTTCTATATTTGATCTACATGTAATGATTCATTTATTGCTAAGACTCGTATTCACGCAGAAGAGGAATTTATCCATATGGCTTGAAATAGTGGATGTAATTATATAATAATTCTATTTCTTCTCATCTTTCTAAGTGTGCTCAGATGATACTTATTTGACTTAAAGTTATGGTTGCTTGCCCCAGTTAAAATGATATTTATTTATAGAATGATTGGACATTTAAAATTAGAAATGTTAAGAAGATAGTAGAGATACTATTAAAATTAGAGATACCAGCATCTATTGCATGCTACCTACACACTTTTTACACAGAAGAACAAACAGATACTAGGAAACAAAGGTTTAAAAGATGAACTATTGAAAAAGAAAGGAATAACTTTGTCTGTTAAAGCAAATGGTCTTTATTTTTAGATTTCTAATAACTTTAAAATCTGTGTTCAAAGAATGTTGTTTGTAAACTTCTTGATGAGGAAGTGCTGATTCAGCTACCAGAGTGTATTTAGATTTTGTTTAAATTCCAGCCGCATATTTGCATATTTGAGTATTTGTAATATTCATAAATAATCCATATTCAGGGTTGATCAAGCAAAAAATAAAAATAAAGTTTAAAATGCATAGTGGTAAAATTTTCCCTTTAGCACAATGAGCCAGGTATGATATTTAACCCTGCTTAAAGACATTGGTGATATCACTTGCATGCCTAAAGCATGTCACCTCACTGACTCATATTGCATGACTTAAATACATTGCTGATTAATAGACACTGAATTCAGATGAACCTCTTCCTGAGGTTTTCTATTTTGATAGTTCAGTGGCAAGATAGATGGTGACCTCAATCTGTAATTTGTCTCTAAGGTCAGTTGTTACTATGTTTTCCCACTAATGGTATTTTATTCTAGTAATGAGCCCTTTTAACTCTATTAGTTATCCCAAATTGAGCTGATAGGTTATATTTACCACTACAGCTCAGAAGTAATCACTTCCACAGTTTTATTACCTCTGATCAAGACTTAAAAGCATTGCCATTCAATAAGGTTTCTAATACATAATATGCATATATTATAATACATATAATATATCTCTAATAGTATATACGCAAACATCTATTTTTCCTCATGCTTCCTTTTCCTATGCCTTGGTATGCATGCATTTGCCATAACACGTTATGTTTCAGTTCATGTTCCTAAATTGAGATAGGACAGTCCCTAGTGATCAGAGATACCAAGTTTATTATTGGAATATAAAATCAGAATGATAAGCCAAAGAAAAATAAATGGTGTATATAGTGCATTAAAAAGAGACACATAATTGGTGATTGACATTCACCGGTTGAATAAGTTGTTCAATTTTCATTAAGTGGCTTCTAATTTCCAGTGCCTAGTGAACTAAACCGTAAGTATATCCCATGTGGTAACAAATATTTTGTTAGAATATATCCACCCAGCCAAACAAATGTTTTTCTCATAGAAGCTTCCTACTGGATCCTATTGTTAAATGTAATGATGTTTTTGCCTCAAAGCTGAGATGTTAAGACATGAGTCTGCTGTTTTTTGACTAGCATGAAGCTTCAGCCTTGTAGTCTTTTCTGTACAAAGGAACTCTTGAGCTAAGACACAGTTCCACTGTTTTTCTCGCAACATAAAAAAATTTTTAAAAAAAGTGATTTGCTTGGAGAAAATCCAGAAACACTCAGGCAGAATGATATTTTAAGGACACTTAACCCACTTTACGTTCATTAGCACAGGTGTATCTTAAAGCATCTAGAACTGTACTTCAATTCTGTTTATAATTTTAGAATTGCAGATTCAAAGAATTATTTACAAATTACCTCAAAATGATATTTCAAATTAGAATATCTGAAAGAAAAGTAAGTTGTGAAAATTAGTATTTCTCTTAACTGATTTGTCAAAATTTAGAGTAAATGGGACAGGAAAGCAATCAAGTTATTTCCCTTCTTTCATGTGCTCTTCTCCTCCTAACTTCTTCACTTGTGCTGATATTGCTAAAAGAATATCCATCAAGTAATATATTTTGGCCACTAGACATGAATCTTCTTTAAAAAAAAATACACCTAAACAACAGTAACTAAAAAGAATATGGAAAAAATTAGTTATTTTCCACCCATTTGGAAAAACAAAAACTCTCAGGTCTTATGTGATAAAAAGCATCTCTGAGAAGTTTATTGGAAATGACAAAGTCTCCATAAAGAAAAAACTGAATGGAAATGCATGACAGGAGGAGATACTGTTCAGCGTTTGTTGATAACATCCTAAAATCTTGCACATATTATTTCAATTAAAGATAGATTTAGATGCTAACATCTGGAAATTGTCAATATAAATTTGAGTGCTTTAAGCAGTAGTATCTATGCAAGGGTTTCTTTTGGTTTGTTACAGAAGCATTTCCCCCTGGAAAATGTGTAACTGTAGTTAATCAAGCAATATATATTTTCTGTATGAAACTGTTGCAGATTTACTGTGACAGCAGAAGAGTTTTCATGCCTTCTATACCAATTATATGGAGTCCCAGTCAAGTCTTATGGCTGTTCTCCTTCCTATTTCCCTTTCATGTCATTTTTCATAAGCTGGAAATGTGCACAATCTATTTGAACCCCTTAATGTGTCTATGAATTTGGAATAGGAAATTTGCTAATGCCACTTTCCTTGTTTCTTAGTTTAAGACAGGCAAAAATATATTAGCACAATAAATTTTGGTTTTATTGTACTCATCAAGGTTCACAGAGACCTAGAAAACTCACAAACATTTACTAAAACTCTCTGTATGATAAAGTCTGAGCATAAAAGCCATGTGAAATATTTAGGAAAACGTGTTACTCAAACACCTTAAAACTCTCAAAAGTTTCTCTTAAAATAAGTTTAAACTGAATACGAATAGAAAATGTTTGGTTTACATAATCTGGTTCAGATATCCATAATTTGTAATACTTGCATTTTCCACAAAATAAATATTTTCAGAAATGGTCCTGTAGAAACCTAAACCTGTAGCTAGGTACCAAAAGAAATGGCAAAGTTTGCTGAAATATCACAGATGTATCAGTTTTCACTGACAAAGAGTTTATTTTGGAGGAACAGTGATTCATTTTGCCAACCATCATAATATACTTTGATTAATAACTGCAATTCCAGTTTGGCCTGAATGATAGATGAGTAGCAGTTAGGCCGTGTAATTATTCAGTTCAATCACTGAACTGAATAATTGGGGGAAAATGGTTGAGGTTGAACTGAAGGGGTTTTTTTCCCCTCACAGAAAAAGTGTTTCTTTGCCTTAATTACAAAGCAAAGCTTTCGATTCTATGTCAGACCTTCTGAATGGAAATAAAGGGAGAGCTGGATACCATTTATGAAACAATAGGATTCAGCAATGATCACATTATTCATCGTACATAAAGAAAGACACATTCAGTTCTTTCTTCTGCCTGACATGAATGAACCCGTGATTCCTTCTTCTAAAGCTGCTGGAGATGCAGGAGCAAGTTGCTGTTCTGCTGATAATTTTTACTGCTCAGAGACCAGAAATGGAAACCTTTTGCTCCATTTCACATGGTGTCATTCTAGCACCTGGACTATGCATCTTCCAACAGCAAATATTTTATGCAAAGTGAAGGAGCACCAATAAAACAAATTGCTAATACATGCACAACAGAAAAATCCTATGGAGTTGTGTTTACGGATTTATAGGAAATGCATTGGTTTGAAAATATATAGAATCCATAGCTTCAGAAAGAATGAAATAAAGTAGATTGGCTTTGATAATCTCCTCTTTCATTTTACTCAGATGATGTCCACTGCAAATAAAAGGTTATATTGTTGGATATTAATAAAATTACAGTCAGCTGTTTTGTGTTTACATGGACACTGGATTTTTTGTATCAGAGATACAGCCTGAGTTGACTGAAAACGACTGCCTCACAGAACCACATATTTGTTTTCCCATCCTTAAATCCAGAGGCGTGAAAGTTTGGTCTGGACAGAAAAGGTAACTCAAAATGGGAAATAATGCTCCAAAGTAGCAATTATTTTCCAAGAGTTAATCTTTCTAGCAGTATTTTTCTCACAAGTAACAGTGTCACTAAAGGGTCTGAATTCTGGGTTCCACTCAGGTTTATAAAAGCAAGATTTTGTCTTAAAATTAATCAAGTGAAAAGATATTAAAAACGCATTCTTAAACTCCTCTTTAATAACAGCAGCAGCAGCAGCCTGGAGATTCAGTGCAGCTGGCAGAGGGTGGCAAGTGGGCTGTTAACAGATGTATATAGTCCCAGGGACTCAAAAGTGTGACACACTAAATTGCCTTCAAGAATTTACGATTAATGGGAGTTTGCAGCCGAAGGAATGCTTTAAGTTCTACAGTTGGTGCAGGGCATCAACAACAAGCATGAAACACCCTGGAACCATTTACAACTCCATTTTGTGTACCAGTTAATAACTTATTCCCACACCTGTGTCATCAGACTCGGCAACGTGTTTTCTGTTTACCGAAGCGACAGTCACTGAGAGGCCTCCACGATAGCCTTTCTCTCACCTTTCTCCAAGTGCAGACCAGACAGTTGACTGTAGAGCCTGGGGTGGAAATTGTTTGCCTCACACTTTTTGCACATTCTCCACTTTACAGCTAAGAAGCCCCAATACACAAACAAGCAATGGCTTGCTTCAGCATGGCAAGGTGCTCAGG